CTTAATTATAAATTAAATTAATATTTTTGACTCAGTAGCCAAGTGGATAAAGCGTTTGCGTTTTGTGACGAAAGATTATTGCCTTCAAATCCCGTAGTGCAAAACAACTGTAGAATACAGGTACACATGTACAACTGATAACCACTCATAAAACGCACATCTCTGGTTGCACTACTGGCCACATTTCAATTTTTTCAATATAAAGTTATTTCGTATATTTTTCAATTAGAGTTATAGAGATCAGTGTTTCGACACATTGAAATCATGAATCGATCATTGTTAGAGTACCATTAGAAATCTGGAAGCACGAGACTGCCATTTCGTCCTAGTATGAGACTCATCAACAGTGCACATCCATGACTCCTGCACCTCGCAGGATCCGAACCCAGGACCATCAATGTTGCGTGAAGACGCCTAACCTCTGGGCCGACATCCAGAGCGGTATTAGTGTCCAACTCTGATCAATCTAGGGATTTTGAGCCAGCTCACTCATTTGTAGTTACTGCCTAACACCTGACTTTCAGGGTTGAACTCCACTGGTCATATCTTCTCACTTATACTAGAACTCTGAGAATTTCCTCACGAAACTAATCACTAATGAGCAGCACATTGTACACATAATAGCTAATACATTTAAGTCAGTCTACCTAAGGATATATTGTGCACATATATATGTATGTATGGGTGTATATATATTTCTATTTTTGCTTTTCAAAATAGCTAAACGTAAAAAACCATCTGGTGGTGGTGTTGGTGGTAGTACTATGAACAATACCATAGGACAAACACAAATTGTTACATCATCCATACAACAGGGCATTATTGGTAATGTTGGTGGTATTACAACCGCCAATACATCTGGTATAACATTTACAAATTGTACCACTGATTTACAATTACAACAACAACAAGTTTTACAACAACAGTTACAACAGCAGCAGCAACAACAACATGCATTTCTTTTACAACAGCAACAACAACAACAGCAATTTCAACAACAATTCACTCAATCCGCTCAGCAGCAACAACAACAACATGTTTTACAACAGCAACAGCAGCAACAACAACCTCAACATCAAATGATTGTCAGTGCTGGTGGTCATTTTATGTCAGCTACACCGATGGTTACATTGTCAACAATGGCAGCAGCGGCGGCAGTTGCTGCTGGAGGAGGAGGACCTGGTGGAACGGCCACAGCTATACCTGTACATCCTGGTATGTAAAATATAATGTGTGTGTGTGTGTATTATTCTTTCTTCGATGATATAATTAATTCTATTTGGTGAAGATGCTTAAAAAAAATTGTGGAGTTTTCTGACTAACCTAAGCAAACAATGCAAGCATGGTCGGGATGTGATTGTACCGCGTCGAAATGCGAAATGTTGTTTCAGGGTTGGCTTCAGTCGGCGCCTGAACTAATGCTAGGGGAATGAAACGGTTGAGCGTGTTGAGCGCCTCACTTATATCGGGAGTTTTATCAGTTCTGTTAGCCTGGTGAAAGACGAAATCTCAACGCGATAGCAGAAAGCTCGACTGGCATTTGCCAACCTGTGTCACTAATGGCGTAGGCAAGATATTCGTTTGCTAACCAAAGGACGAGTGTACTGTGCAGCAGTTCGCTCCTTCCTACTTTATGGCTGTGAAACATGGCCGGTAAGAGTTGAGGATCGTATGTATTCGATTATAAATGTCTCCGATGCGTTGCTCGTGTATCTTGGGACAGTGGGGTAAGCAATGCTGTTGTTAAGAAACATATACTAAGTACGGATGGCAAATCATCAGTTAAGATGGCTGAGACATATGTTACATATATCTAACCATCGACTGCCCCGACGAGCGATGTTTTGCAGTGTAGGAGTAGGTTGGAAGAAAGCTAGGGGCGGCCAAAACAAAACATGGCACAAATCCATGAAGTCACTCAAAACTCGATTGAGTCATGTTGGTAAGTACAGACTACCTGGTTAGGGTCCACGAGACAATAATAACCGATGTTTAGAGACCTTGAACAAGATTGCTCAAATGCGTTTGCATTGGCACAGCTACCTCCACTGTTTGTGTTCTCTCAAATTCTAATCTTCTGAATTACTCATCACCCTTATTTTTCTCTTCCTAAATCTATTTCACTGAATTATACTTCTTGAATAATATTTCCGAACACTAGTCTCCATTACAGTTCTACTATCTCTACCGCTATGGGATTTGATTTGACAGTTGTATCTCTGTTTTAATGTGGAATGGCTATTTGAACCTATCTACGTACGTACGTACGTACGAAATTCTTCGTTTTAACTAACTGACTGTATTGTTCTATTTGTTCGTGTCTATATACAGAGATAAATGGATAGTGTTGAACATTAGAGATTGGATGAAATGCTTTCTGTATTACATCATGGTTTTCAATAGTAGTAGTGCCGGTGTATTCCACCTTCAAGATATTTAATCAGTAATCCACCATTACATAACACCATTACACACAACCAGGGCTTCGACTCCAGGTCCTTCCGTCTCTCGTTAGGGAATCTTCAAATCATTAAAGTTTATTCAACAAAATATTACCACTAGCATTCTATTTTGCAGCTATTTATAACTAGCTACGTGCGTATATGAGAAAAAATTTGGTTACTGAAACTTCTCAATTAAGCTAAAAAAAATTCACGCATTTTTTATGCAACTTGCCTCCAATACGCAAATAAATAAGTTGTTTTAAATGTTATATTACTAAAATAGATTATTAGTAGTATATGTATCATATGTGATGCAATTAGTTATTTCAATTGTTTTGTTGTTGCAACTTTCGCTTCACAGATCAATGAATCAATCAGTCAATCAATATATTGAATTCTTTAGAAAATTTTTAACTAAATTTTTTTCCTGAATTACAATACTAAACAAAGCATTCAAGTTTGCATAGGTTTGTGAGAGAGATCATGTCCAATCTACTATGATTGACTCATTTGATCAAATTTCTATGGAATTTTTTTTGTACTGACTTGTTAATCATTTAAGTTTCGTTTTTTTTTCGACAATTTAAACAACTTAACATTAGTTCAAAGGCGCACCTAAATATTTATGCTCCGCACAGATTATTGAATTTGTGAATGCGTTGGGAAACTGTTCAGACGCCTAAACTGAAACAAGTAGTTTTTTAGGGGGGCTACACTCTGAGCCGTTGACCTAAAATTGTAGTCTATAAAGTCAGTCGGGAAACGTTAGGAGATGCAGTCTCGTGGTAGGCGGAAATGGGTTTATATGTCATTCATTCCGTCAGTATCCAGTAGCTCATGTTCACTATTGGTTTGGAATTAAGGTTTTCTGACTCCTCTAGGTGGATCGTCTATACCAACCAACCCTTTCTAAGCACCGGATACTCGCTATTCGTCTTCTTAATTTCGTGAATAATACCTTAGCTTCGACAAGGTAGTGAGGTAAACTTCCCTGTTAGTGTCTATATACACATGGGCATTTCAAGAGAGAGAGAGAGAGAATGAGACAGCGGGTTCTATCTGCTCTCGGCTGTACCAGGGCATTTCAGGGCTGTAAGTACTACTCCTCATTTATTTAAAATATGATACGTTTGAACACTTCCACAAAAGTCTTTTTAATGCCTCTTGTTTCTCATTGCTACCCTCAGTCGAGATTAAAATCTCTGGTGAATATAACCTTTTGGATAAGAAATAAGTAGTAAGGTTTAGATTTTCGTTGATTTCACTGTAGTATTATTGAGTTGTCGGTTTGTCTTAAATCGTTGTTAATTTGTTTGATAAATGGAGGTTTACTCAATAGTTTAGAGATTAATCTACCGCCCGTAAATCCGATAATCTCGGGTTCGATCCCCGTTTTCGGGAATCGTGCCTACTCACTGTTGATGAGTCCTATGTTAGGACGAAACAACTATCTAGTGCTCCCATGTTTCTAATGATACTGTAACATTCATTGATCAATTCATGATTTCAATGGACTATATTTTATTGTTTAAATCAACTTGATATTATTGATATATATATTTTAATAAATTAGGTACTCAAACCGCTATGGCATCAGGTTGTTATGCAACTGCACCACAATTTCAATTTCCTAATAATCCAACTGGTACAGCACAACAATTTTTTATTAGTCCACAAGCATCGAATTTATCTACAAGTAATGGTCAAACATTTTTACAATGGTCAACAACACCATCATGTACACAAGGTATTCCTACAACAGTTCAATTTCAACAACCGAATCCACAACAACAACAGCAACCGCAAGGAGTTGCAGCAACTTGGCAAAATGTCTCTACTATCTATCATCAACCACAACCGAATCCACAACAGCAACCACAACAACAACAACAACAAATCGGTGCAACTATTCAATCAGCTTCAGGTGGTGGTGCTGCTGCAGCTGGTGGTACTCCGACAGCTGGACATGCCCAACAGCAGCAAATGTTCACACAACAACAACAAGGAGTTATGCAACAAGCTTCATTACAAATGTCTCAACAAGGACAAACACAACAACAATTATTATTTGCACCACAACATCCAGTTGGATTACAAGCAGCAGCAGCAGCAACAGCTACTGGTGCTGGTGGTGGTGTTCCTCAAGCAGCTTATCCACAACAAGTGTATTTAGCTCAAGCACCTGCAGGTAAAAATTTTCTTTTTATTTCAATTATGATGATGATGATGATGATGAAATAATATTATGTGTTGTGCATGAGATGTTTTTTTGCTTTCTATGAAGAAAAAATTGTGTGATAGTGGGTGTGCTGTTACGGGTATGAGGGAGGTTGTCACTTTGCGGCTGCCCACACACCGTGGAAGGTTGTTTCTTGAGGGAGCTGAAAAGGAAGATAGATTAGTGTTGGTCTTAGAGACCCTGGGTGTGTGACCGCAAAGCCCAAGGGACAACTGCTTGAGGCCGGTCACGCACGGCCTTTTGATGAAAGGTTTGCTGAGTATTAGCTCCGCTCTTTTTAAAAGCCCTTAGTGGGCACCCTTACCCAAGGAGACGGAAATCCGTGAGGTAGGGTGAGGTGTGACATTTTTAGGGTCGACCTTTTCTAACCCTTCCTTCCTTGTGAGAAGGCAGCATCGCTGCAGATGCTGGTTGTCCGAGGGAAACACCTTACTGCTGTCACAGCCCTCTGCAGTCAGCAGTACGACTTCGCCCTCAGACCTTGAGTAGCTGCTTTTAGTCTGATCGTTCTCCAATCGACCTGCCTGGCATGGTAGAACCTTCAGGAACATATTTTCCAGCCAATATAGCTCGTTTGGGTCATCATGATAGACAAGCCCGATCACCACGTCAAGGTAGCAGCTACGGTCGGGGATAGTGGTTGTGCGCTCACCAATTCTATGGTGGTCGGTATTCGATATATTCGCAAAATCCATACACTAGTCATCCTGATAACCGGTTACTACTACACAGTGTTGAAGATGTTTATATTCTCGTACCAGATCACAGATCACAAAACGATTATAGGCATACGAAATGAAACTGATGTATGGTTAACATGAAAACGTGTAGAATGAATCAGCACGTAGGCGGTAAGCGATGCTAAATCATAAAAACGCAACAAAATAATGAAACAACAATGGTACAGATATTTTGTTGCTATACTCACATGACTCAGTCTGTTAAATTAGTTAATCAAAAGGGCTTAACCAAATTAAAGGTATAATGACTCAAATTTATGTAAGCTGCTGTAAATGAACTAGCTAGACTTTCTTTTAGTGACCAATCCTATTATACATATCACCGAAACCTTAGTCAAAATGGAGCTTTGCCAACCAACGGCGATTATTATCGGTGTAACCAATACTTTTGGGCCTCCAAATGCCCGAGTACGACCAAGAGTGGAGAAGGTTCACTCCACTCAAACATCGACCGATCGATTGTTAGAGATCCTAAATAACACGGCTCAAAACTTTTTGCGATGGTGCAGGTGCATTCATTCTTTGTGTTCTCTCAAACCCTAAACTTTTCAATTCTTTATCACTTTATCTTTATTTTTCTAAGACTATTTAACTAGATTCTACTTCTTGAGTAATATTTTCTTGTCCTAATCTCTCCGATTACTGCTAATAACCTTTACTACCTCTACTGCCATGAGATTTGAATTGACAATTACATCTCTGTGCTGATGTGGTATGGCA